CTCCATGATTCTTTCTGGTACTCTCTAATGTTCCGTGATGCTCTCGTATGCTGGAATGGAAGCACTGTACTTGAGATCCATTAGCGCCTTATCGTGCCCCACATGCCACCCAGCTCCCTGGTTTCTCGTGCCTCGTCGGCCTATCCGTCTTGCTTCTGTCCTCCTACCCCACCTCATCTTGCCGCTTCCGCTTCTTGCACAGCCTGTACCAAGCTGGAGACGTTATTTGAGGCACATTGAAAACCATTTGCACAACCTGCATTAAGCTGGAGATCTACCTTTTCCCATGGATGAGAGGACGATTGAAGCCGTCGCGCGGCTGAAAGCGATGCTGGCCGCAGTGGCTGTCGCTGGTGCGACAGCACTCCTGCTCATGCTGATGCCAGGCGTGGATGTGCTCTTGAGGCGACTGAAAGATGGGAGGACGGATAAACCGACCGTGTTGCTGACAGGGCTTCTGGCCGCATTGCATGTTGCTGCCCTAATCAGACTTGTCCTCATGCTAGATCCACGCAGGGATGTCCCTCAACAGGTCAGCAATCAACCCAACCAAACTCCCGTCAGGCCTTCGCAAGGCTCTTGCCAGGTATTCCACCAGGCGTTCACCAAACATTTGCAAGACGTTCGCCAGACGTCCACCGCACTCACCAGCCATTTGTCAAACGTTTACCAGTTATTCAACAGGCAATTGAAAGGGCATATCTCGTATGTCTTACTGCATATAGTTGTTTCAATCCAAGCTGGATTGGCACTTGAAGTACCATGGATTATCCAACATATGCTCTACTCCGCTGCTTAAGCATGCGTCTCTCTTCCAGCATGGCCCCTGCATGACATGACGCGTGTTTGGACCCACTGTCTTAGCACCAACACCAACACCAACACCAAATGCACATCGGATTTTTAGCCCAGTCGTTAAATTAAATCTTGAAACGTGTGTCATGTCTTGCTGTTCCAAACTGACTATTGAACTGTCCCACTGCTCCAACGCCAACACCAGGTGTATGTCATCTTTCCAGGCATGGCGGCGTTTTTTGTGCTGGCCTGGTGGTCGGACATTGCTCAGACACAGACCCGAGTGAGGGTGGGCCAGAAGGGCTTGGCGTTGAGAGATAAGCTGCGAAGTGCAGCCATTTTCTCCCTGGTTTGCCACAAGTCAAATCCTATCTGTGCCAGGATTCAAATCTTATCTATGCCATGAATTTTGCCCTCTATATGCCTCGAATCATGCCCTCTTTTTCCCATATGTTTTTATCCCGCTATGCCATGAGTCATGCACCACCTTGCCACCATGTATCCACTGTCCACCTCGTCAGCTTTCAAGCCCTTGTTCCTTGGCCCTTCATATCCGTGCGTGCGCTTTCACATCTCGTCAACTGTCTGCGTTTGTGTTCACAATTCTGTGTTTCGATACTGACTTTCCTCCTGCACGCATGTCTTCCTTCCTTGGTCTCCCTTGCACGGTTCCGGAATGCAGGGAGCGGGTGAAGATGCTCCCATGCGAGATCAGCTTTCTGTAAATTCTTAAAAACTAGCTGATCTCCTGCGCACCTGTCTATCCTCCTTCCATCCTCGTAACCTTCTCCCGTGCGCAGTTCCGGAATGCAGAGAGCGGGTGCACGTGCTCCTATTCATTTAAGGCAGCAGGCGGAAACAGCTGCCTTGATACAGGCCATGCAAGCTCAGATCAGTGCGCTTAAAGGGCAGCTTGACGAGACCAGGAAGGGATTGGGGGAGGCAAGGAGGGGGTTGCAGGAGGTTGAGAGAAGGAGAGTGGCAGATTGGAGAGAGTTGGGAGGGCGAGTGGAGAAGGGAGAGAAAGAGATGATGAATGTGAGAGGGTTGATTCGGTAGCAGCCAAGTGGGAGTGGATGAAGGACTTTGTAGAATTCAACGAAGATTTGGAGGGGGAATTGGGAACAGCCAAGGGGGATTTGGAGGAGGAGTTGGAAGCAGCTAAGGAGAAACTGGAGGGGAAATTGGTAGCAGTCAAAGGGGAGTTGGAGGGGGGGTTGATAGCAGCCAAAAAGGAGTTGGAGGGGGGTTTGGTAGCAGTTAAGGGGGAGTTGATAGCGATGAAAGGGGAGCTAGCAACACTTAAGGGGGAATTGATTGGACAGAAGAACGGTTTGGGGAACGTGGGAAAGGAAGAGATGGATGTCAAGGAGGGGGTGAAGGGGCTTAGGATGGGAGAGAGTGGGCGATCGGCAGCAGTGGAGCAGGGCCAGACGTCAAAGCATAAGCAGATTGATGTTGAAGAGCAACTCATATCAAGCCAGGGCGATGTCAAGCCCTTGTGGCAGGTGTGCTGGTTACTTACTGGTTGCTGGATGTTCATTCACAATGTACTGGAATCTGTTCCTATCTCTCATTCTCTTTCAACCTCTTTCCCCCTCAATATAATTTCTTTGTGTCTCCCCCCTCTCCACCTGCCTTCACAGAAAATCCGAGCAACAGCAACACTGGATCTCAAGGGCCAAACGCACCTCTCAGACGTGCTCCTTGCCCACGTGGCCACCATGACCCACCTCAAGCACGTGCACATGGACTCCTCATCAGGCGTCACCTCTCAAGGCATCAAGTGCCTCTACTCCCTACCACACCTGGAAAGCCTGGAGCTCAAGAGCAGTGTCGTCACTGATTGCACCCTGGAGGGCATTGGGGCGGCCAGCAGCAGTCTCAAGTTTCTCTACCTTAACCAAGCCGCTGTGACTGATGCGGGCTTGCCACACCTGGCCAGCATTACTTCCCTCAAGACTTTGATACTCTACAAGTGCGAGGGGGTGACCTGTGCCGGCATGGTGCTCGTGGGGAGGCTGACAAGCCTCGAGGAGCTGTATCTGTTTGGAAGTGGAGTGAAGGACCGTGGGCTTCAGTTCCTGGTACCACTGACTCGGCTCAAAATGCTGATCCTTCCGAGTCTGATCACTGACGCTGGTTTGCAGCACATGCAGCAATTAACTGCTTTGGAGTTGTTGGATATATCGAATTCTGTCGTGACTAAGAAGGGTGCAAAGATGCTGAAGGGGCTTCCTCGTTTGAAGCAGGTCAGAGCGGGCAGTGCCAGCTTGCAGCTGCTGCGGACGACTCTCCCTGGAGTGGAAGTGAGCAAGGATCTTCTGCCCGGCGCTATTTCTGGTGATGCGAGTTGAAGGTGACTTTTGAGTTGACTCAATTCAGAGCGGGCAGTGCCAGCTTGCAGCTACTGCTACTGCGGACGGCTCTTGCTGGAGTGGTAGTGAGCAAGGATCTTCTGCCCGCCGCTATTTCTGGTGATGCTGGTTGAAGTTTACCTTGAATCGTCTAGTGCAGCCACTGTAGGTAGGTAGGTCTGCACTGGTACATCTGCTGGCATGGAGCGCGTGGGGACGCTGGTGCTTAGATCACATTCTGATGCAGGTTCGTGTTGATGGTTGGAATTACCTAAAGCCTCCAGGTCCAGGGGTTGACCGCAGTTTAGTTGTCAAGGTAAGACCTACGGTACCTATGGTGTTCGTATTGTACGGCACACATGTGAACAAGGGTTGGGGAGGGGGTGCAATAATTTGTGTTCTGTCAAATTGTAATTTGTCAGCAAGACCTGTAAATGTGATGATGAATGTGATTTTGAAAGCATGCAGACATGCCAGTGCACATTCGCTGCACGTATTCTTATCCACCTAGGGCATGTTCCCGCGGCCTCTTATCAGGGAAACCTCTTGGCAGACTCGTGTCACACCGCTCTGTAACGCACGTACGTAATCACATTCGATCGCAGTGAAACGCATAGAACCACACAAATTTGATGAGGTGTCTGATAAGAGGCCGTAGGAACATACACATGGTACTCAGCTTGTATGAGGTGATGTTTGTCTTATAAACTAGCTTACACTATACACACAAGAAGCGCGGCAGATATTCTCACCGACCCACAACCGCGTGTGCCATGGATGGAGCTGTTATGAAGTACCCCAAAAATGGAGACTGGCAGGCAGGCGGTGAACCATACATAGCTGCTGTCGCCATAAGCCATGGATGTGCGTTGGATTGGATGGTAGGCAGGCGGGTAGCATGAGCGCAGGTGGACGCAGAAACATTGCCACCTGGATAATACCGTATGAAAAACACCCACGCTCCATGAGTGCTCAATGCTCATCCCCCTCATCCTCCTCCTCTCATCCGCCTCCTCTGCCTCAGTGTGCATGCAGGAGCATCCATGCGTACCCTCGCTCACTCACACTGCCCTGCTTTGTATACAATAACGTGATAACCTTTCACTCACTCTCAAAAGGGAGGCAAGCATTGCCTCAGGGCCCCCACCACCAGCCCTGGCGTGTCTCAAATGAGAAGACGCCCGTTATGTGCTCTGCCCTGCCTTCACTCCTGCCAGCACTCCTCCGACCTTTCTCCTCCACACGCACCACCAGTGCCCGTTGATAGCGAGGCTTTCCCTATTTCCTGTACATTCCGCTTCCTGCCTCCCTCCTCTCCTTGCGTCCCCATCCCTCTCCTCCATCTCCATCCTTTCCTCCTTCCTCTCCTTCATCACTCAAACCTCCTCTAATCCTGCTCTAATCCTTGCTAGCCACTCCACGCTCTGCTCCTGGCCATGGGCTTGGCCTTGTGCTTCACAAGCGGCTGATGATAGACCCAAGCACCACACACGCACACACATAGACACACACGGACAAACCCCCCTTCCCCCCCCCCCCCCCCCCCCCCCCCCCCCCCCACACACACACACGAACACACACAGACACAGTCACACACATGCCTCACTCAGCACCTCCCCCTTCACCGTTCTCATGCTCTGCTCCCAGCCGTTGCCTCTGCCTTGTGCTTCACGGGTAGCTGCAGATCCAATCTAAAGCAGCACCGACCGCTCTCAAACGCGTACCCCAGTTCCCCCCCCAGCAGATGCACCAGCCTTTGACACAACCGCAGCGCCATGCCCTGCAGCCCCGTCGCGGCCACGCCCCCTCTCCCCACCAGCACCTGCACCAGCGGCCCCTTCACCCTTCTTATGCTCTACTCCCAGCCGTTGCCTCAGCCTTGTGCTTAACCGGTAGCTGCAGATCCAATCTAAAGCAACACCGCCCGCTCTCAAACGCGTACCCCAGTTCCCCACCCAGCAGATGCACCAGCCTCCGACACAACCGCAGCGCCATGCCCTGCAACCCTGTCGCCGCCACGCCCCCCCTCCCCACCAGCACCTGCACCAGCGGCCCCGGCACGCCATCCCCTGAATGCGCCACGGTGAATCTGAACCGTTCAGCCGACGGGTGCCCCTGCGGGGGCGGCACATCGGCAGCTCCTCTCATCGGCGCTTCTAGCTTGAGCTCGATCCAGCCAGCGGCGGGGTGTGTTCAACAGCCGTGCGAAGACACGTGGCTAGGACCTGCTGTAGCCGCGTGGGATCGCCGAATACTCGCACTCTCATGGGGCTGGGTACTGAACAGACCAGTTGTTGCCCCTTGGCGATCGCTGCTCCTGACGCCTGGCTCAGAGATGCATTCAGCACCGAGACTAGGGAGAATTCCACCCGCTGCACGTCTAAATAACCCTCCTCCACCGCATTCAAATCTGCCATATCGGCCAGAATCGTTCTCATCTGCTCTTCCAGCGCAGCGGCAGTTTCAAGCAGCTGAACCTGGTCGGGTGAGAGGCTGGCAGACCGCTGCAGAGACAGGCGGATGAAGGCTAGCCCATCAAGGGGCGCTCGGAGGCTTTCTCTGGCCACGTCTGATTGGGCTATGCGGGCCTGTGCGGCGGTTTCGGCGGCGGCCTGGGCTTTAAGGGCCTCCTGCACCTCGCGGTTCATGGAGTGAAGGAAGCAGAAGACGCCCGTTATGCGCCCATCCACGTCCGTGCGCTTGCTCACTGTGAGAAGTACCTCCTGTGTGGTGGGGGGGGCGAAGGTGGGATGTCAAAGGGTGGGGGAGAGGGAATAGATGAGAGACGACGCGCCCGTCAGCATCCGTGCGCTTGCTCACAGTTAGGAGTACCTCCCATGTGGGGGGAGGAGGGTGTGGAGAGGCAGGGAGGGGGACGGCAAAGGAAGGGTGCGAGGAAAGAGCTGAGAGGTGTTGCGCCCCTCCATTTCCGTGCGCTTGTTCATAAAAGCACCTCCTGTTGGGTGTAGGGGCGGGAAGGACGGCAGAGGGTGGGGGAGAGCGAAGCAGAGCTGAGAGGTGGGTGGGGTGTGTGATGAGAGAGAGCGTGTGGGGTGATGTGCCCATTCACGTGCATGGCTTGCTCACTACACCTCCCCGAGGGGGAAGGGGAGAGGTTGAGATGTGTGATGAGAGAGCGTGTGAGGTGGTGTGGTTATCTGCCTGCTTGAGTTTGCTCACCGTTGAGGGGTGGGGGAAGAGGAGAGGGAGTTGGCAGTGGGTGAGGGGAGAGGGTGAGGAGGATTTAGGAAGAATGCAGACAGAACCGGCGTCTCTAACAATACCACCTGCCCTCTCACCTGCAGCTTGCCATCTCTGGCGAAGAAGGAGAAGGGGTGGTTGCTGGTGTCCTCATGGCCCTCCATCGTACAACTCACCACAATCTCCAACTCTGTCATCGCATCCTCATCCCTCAACACACTGTTGGTAACCACCAACCTCTCCCTCTCATCTGCAGCTTCCCGTCTCGTGCGAAGAAGGAGAAGGGGTGGTTGCTGGTTTCCTCATGGCCCTCCATGGCGCAGTTCACCACAATCTCGAGCTCAGTCATGGCATCCTCGTCCCGCAGCATCAGCATCGCCATGTCCAGACCAAACACCTTCCCCAGCAGCAGCCTAGGTGACAATGTCCTTTTGAGACAACTAAATAACCACCTTCCCTCCCTCTCACCTGGAGCTTGTGAGGAGGTTTAAAGCCCAGTTGTTAACCTGCAGCTTGCCGTCTCTTGCAAAGAACGAGAAGGGGTGGTTACTCGTGTCCTCATGGCCCTCCATGGCACAATTCACCACAATCTCCAGCTCAGTCATGGCATCCTCGTCCCGCAGCATCAGCATGGCCATGTCCCTTTGAGTCGGCTAAAAAAGACACCTGTGGTCCCTCTCACCTGCAGCTTCTGTGGCGGCTTAAAGGTCAGTTTCTCACCTGCGGCTTGTGAGGCGGTTTAAAGCCCGGTTATTTACCTTACCTGCAGCTTGCCATCTCTGGCGAAGAAGGAGAAAGGATGGTTACTCGTGTCCTCGTGCCCCTCCATGGCGCAGTTCACCACGATCTCCAGCTCAGTCATGGCATCCTCGTCCCGCAGCATCAGCATGGCCATGTCGAGCCCAAACACCTCCCCCAGCAGCAGCCTACCCAGCACGTCCCCGCGGCCCAGCCCCGTGAGGCGGCTCATGCCAGTGTTCCACTCGCTGCAGATGCCGTACTCGTCCATTCCAAAGATGGGCGGGATGAGCGGGTTGGGGGAGTGGACGATGGTGCGGTAGTCCCCCTCGCACCGGATGTACCTGGTAATGGGGAGGGGGGAGCAGGGAAGCGGGGGAGAAAGGGGAGAAGGGGATTCTCAACACACTAGATTCACCCGGGGAGATGCCGCACTCGGCCATGCCGAAGATGGGCGGGATGAGCGGGTTGGGGGAATGGACTATCGAGCAGTAGTCGCCCTCGCACCGGATGTACCTGGTGGGGTATAGAAAAGGGAAAAAGGATGGGAGACGGGGAGAAAGGAGGGGAAGGGGCAGGACAAGAACTTTACACACTAATGATGGTACCACTACTCCCACCTCCCCCCCCCCCATCCCCCGTCCCATACCTCCATGGCCCATGGTCTTGTGACACACCCATACCTCCATGGTCCATGCAGAACTTGTGGGTGGTGATGTGATGTCCTGCCCCGTCTGCCACTAACCCCAACCTCCCTCCCCCTCCCTACTCTTACACCAAAGGCCCCTCCATGGTCCATGAAGAACTTGTGGGTGGTGATGTGATGTCCTGCCCCAGCAGGCACACGCCCACCCACAAATGCTGTAAGCAGCACCCCTGCTGCCACTCCCTCTCCCAATTTGACTCCCCCCCTCCCTCACCGATCCATGACGATCTTCTGAGTGGTGATATCCTGCCCCACCAGGCACACACCCACCCACGAGCATCGTGAGCAAAACTAACAGTCTCCCTTCCTTTACCTTCCTCGTAGTACCAATAGGCCCCTCACCGATCCATGACGATCTTCTGAGTGGTGATATCCTGCCCCACGAGGCACACGCCCACGATCTGGTTGTGAATGTCCCGGTTGGCACAGCTGTTCACAAGCATGATCAGCACGCCCGCTGGCACGCCGCTGCGCCACACCTTGAGACGTATTTCCACGTCCGACTCTTCTCGACCTTGTAGGGACTGCAACGAGAAGACGAGACGAGAAAAGGGGGGGATGAGAAGACGATAAATCGTTTCCGCTGGCATGCCGCTGCGTTCAAGCAGGCTCACTGCGACTAAGCACACAGTCACGTTCAAGCAGGCTCACTGCGACTAAGCACACAGTCACGTTCAAGCAGGCTCACTGCGACTAAGCACACAGTCACGTTTAGGCATGATCATCCTGCCCCGGCGGGTCGGGTCGACCCGACCCGACCCGGGTTTTGACCCGGGTCGGGTCAGGCATTTTGAAGCGCTGGCCCGGCCGGGTCGGGTCGGGTTTACCCGGTCGGGTCGGGTCGACCCGACACCCGAAACCGGGTCGGGTCGGGTCGGGTCGGGTCGGGTCGGGTCGGGTCAGATTTAGACCCGAAGTCGTACCCGACCCGGTTTCGGGTACCGCGCCCTAAGTCGGGTCGAGTATTTGGCCCGACCCGACTTTTCCTCCCTCGACAATTTGCACTAAAGCAGATCGCGAAGTCAATGTCTAGGGTTTGTTTGTTCCCTCGACATTGACTTCGATCTGCAATACCTAGGCAGCTAGCAAGCAATCGTTCTCAAGCTCTACTACTCTCTAAACCCGCGCCCATGTTAAGGAACACTATTACTAGTGTTTCCATGTTGGCGTAAGGGTCTTTTTAACCTAGCGCGACCAGGCAGAGATATTCGATTCTATAGAAATAGTTATTCTTAGCTCTCACAAGCGACTAAACTCTGGTCCCGCGTTCTAATCGCCCCCTGCGCGCCTACCAGGCCCGCATCGATAGTGACGCGACCCCCCATAGTCTAGTTACAAAATGGAGGACGTTCATATAATAATATTACACAAACATTCAATCAGTGCAACACCGCACAGTAGTAAGGAGAACCTCTTACCCTGCATATGGGGTCCTGGCCCGACCCGACCCGACCCGGCCCCTACCCGACCCGACCCGGGGGCGGGTCACGCCTGACCCGGCACCCGATACCCGGGTCGGGCCAGGATTTTTTGAAGTTCCGACCCGACCCGACCCGACCCGGAACCCGGCTGGCCCGCCCAAGTCGGGTCGGGTCGGGTCGGGTCGGGCCTAATGATCATGCCTAGTCACGTTCAAGCAGGCTCACTGCGACTAAGCACACAGTCACGTTCAAGCAGGCTCACTGCGACTAAGCACACAGTCACGTTCAAGCAGGCTCACTGCGACTAAGCACACAGTCACGTTCAAGCAGGCTCACTGCGACTAAGCACACAGTCACGTTCAAGCAGGCTCACTGCGACTAAGCACACAGTCACGTTCAAGCAGGCTCACTGCGACTAAGCACACAGTCACGTTCAAGCAGGCTCACTGCGACTAAGCACACAGTCACGTTCAAGCAGGCTCACTGCGACTAAGCACACAGTCACGTTCAAGCAGGCTCACTGCGACTAAGCACACAGTCACGTTCAAGCAGGCTCACTGCGACTAAGCACACAGTCACGTTCAAGCAGGCTCACTGCGACTAAGCACACATTCACGTTCAAGCAGGCTCACTGCGACTAAGCACACAGTCACGTTCAAGCAGGCTCACTGCGACTAAGCACACAGTCACGTTCAAGCAGGCTCACTGCGACTAAGCACACAGTCACGTTCAAGCAGGCTCACAGCGACTAAGCACACAGTCACGTTCAAGCAGGCTCACTGCGACTAAGCACACAGTCACGTTCAAGCAGGCTCACTGCGACTAAGCACACAGTCACGTTCAAGCAGGCTCACTGCGACTAAGCACACAGTCAGGTTCAAGCAGGCTCACTGCGACTAAGCACACAGTCACGTTCAAGCAGGCTCACTGCGACTAAGCACACAGTCACGTTCAAGCAGGCTCACTGCGACTAAGCACACAGTCACGTTCAAGCAGGCTCACTGCGACTAAGCACACAGTCACGTTCAAGCAGGCTCACTGCGACTAAGCACACAGTCACGTTCAAGCAGGCTCACTGCGACTAAGCACACAGTCACGTTCAAGCAGGCTCACTGCGACTAAGCACACAGTCACGTTCAAGCAGGCTCACTGCGACTAAGCACACAGTCACGTTCAAGCAGGCTCACTGCGACTAAGCACACAGTCACGTTCAAGAAGGCTCACTGCGACTAAGCACACAGTCACGTTCAAGCAGGCTCACTGCGACTAAGCACACAGTCACGTTCAAGCAGGCTCACTGCGACTAAGCACACAGTCACGTTCAAGCAGGCTCACTGCGACTAAGCACACAGTCACGTTCAAGCAGGCTCACTGCGACTAAGCACACAGTCACGTTCAAGCAGGCTCACTGCGACTAAGCACACAGTCACGTTCAAGCAGGCTCACAGCGACTAAGCACACAGTCACGTTCAAGCAGGCTCACTGCGACTAAGCACACAGTCACGTTCAAGCAGGCTCACTGCGACTAAGCACACAGTCACGTTCAAGCAGGCTCACTGCGACTAAGCACACAGTCAGGTTCAAGCAGGCTCACTGCGACTAAGCACACAGTCACGTTCAAGCAGGCTCACTGCGACTAAGCACACAGTCACGTTCAAGCAGGCTCACTGCGACTAAGCACACAGTCACGTTCAAGCAGGCTCACTGCGACTAAGCACACAGTCACGTTCAAGCAGGCTCACTGCGACTAAGCACACAGTCACGTTCAAGCAGGCTCACTGCGACTAAGCACACAGTCACGTTCAAGCAGGCTCACTGCGACTAAGCACACAGTCACGTTCAAGCAGGCTCACTGCGACTAAGCACACAGTCACGTTCAAGCAGGCTCACTGCGACTAAGCACACAGTCACGTTCAAGCAGGCTCACTGCGACTAAGCACACAGTCACGTTCAAGCAGGCTCACTGCGACTAAGCACACATTCACGTTCAAGCAGGCTCACTGCGACTAAGCACACAGTCACGTTCAAGCAGGCTCACTGCGACTAAGCACACAGTCACGTTCAAGCAGGCTCACTGCGACTAAGCACACAGTCACGTTCAAGCAGGCTCACAGCGACTAAGCACACAGTCACGTTCAAGCAGGCTCACTGCGACTAAGCACACAGTCACGTTCAAGCAGGCTCACTGCGACTAAGCACACAGTCACGTTCAAGCAGGCTCACTGCGACTAAGCACACAGTCAGGTTCAAGCAGGCTCACTGCGACTAAGCACACAGTCACGTTCAAGCAGGCTCACTGCGACTAAGCACACAGTCACGTTCAAGCAGGCTCACTGCGACTAAGCACACAGTCACGTTCAAGCAGGCTCACTGCGACTAAGCACACAGTCAGGTTCAAGCAGGCTCACTGCGACTAAGCACACAGTCACGTTCAAGCAGGCTCACTGCGACTAAGCACACAGTCACGTTCAAGCAGGCTCACTGCGACTAAGCACACAGTCACGTTCAAGCAGGCTCACTGCGACTAAGCACACAGTCACGTTCAAGCAGGCTCACTGCGACTAAGCACACAGTCACGTTCAAGCAGGCTCACTGCGACTAAGCACACAGTCACGTTCAAGCAGGCTCACTGCGACTAAGCACACATTCACGTTCAAGCAGTCACCAAGCACACGACCACGGACACCAAGCACACGCCCCCGGACACCAAGCACACACGCCTAAGGCTCACCGACACAAGCAGTCTCTGTGTGTCCGCCTTGCTCTCCTCCGCCACCAGCTCCTGCAGGAACGACCGCCCCATCGCCTCCTCCACTGGTACTCCTGCAGGGCGGACGAAGGGAGGAGAGAGCGGGAGCAAGGATCAAAAATACGACCGAATTTTTTATTTTCCATCGTATTATACGGTATCGTATTATATGTTCGTTTAAAACGGTTTAATACGGTCATTAGTTACATTTAAGTTTCAAATAAAAATACGGTCGTTCTTTTCGGCCGAAAGTTTGAAACCGAGACAGTGTATATCGATTTTCAACATTCAGACCCGTCGAGTTCAATATGGGGGATTTCTTGCAAAGTCTTGTGAGTCCCGACAGAATTTGGGTCGAGTCGCGTATGTCATCAAAATGTCGAGGCGCGACATTTTGACATTTGACGAACGGGAAAGAAATGCGTACCCGTTTCGCAGAGTCGTTGATGTCGTTCGCCGAATCGCGTCGACACCAATTCGACGAGGCGCGACCGGCCAACTTTCTTACCCGTTTCGCGTATTCGTCAACACAATTCGCGCTTTGCAATGTGTTTTCGCATGCAGTCGTGGTGCTGGAAACAATTGCATGCGATGCATTTCCAGCCAATAGCAAGCACCCAATCAATCAACTTCTCTCTCATCTCAACCAAACACCACTCGACAAAGCAGCACCAGCAAGCTCTAAGAGGTACTTATTGGTAGTGAAAAACGTCACTCGACACATTCTGGCTGCCTTACCTCAGAACAGCGATCTGCCCCACTTCAGCTTAGCTCAGTCTTGATCGACGCCATGGTGCGACCGGCTTCAGAATATTGGGAGCATGTGAGTAAGATTAATAACGCAGAGGATAAGGTCGTTGGTGCTACATGCATTCATTGCAAACTTCCCGTGACGGCTAATGCGACTAGGATAAAAGAGCACATTCTGGGCACTGCTAACAAGAAGGATCGGAACGTCGCGATGTGCAAATCGGAGTACGCTAAGCAGCGGCGGTCGACAGCCGATCAGGAGCTCTCATCCACGGGGAATGGTTCGGGAGGATCGAACCGTGCCTCCACCTCCACGGTTGACCCTCCTCCGCCCGCACGTCGCTCTCGGCAGAGAGATATCCGTGACATGACGGATACCAATGCGCAGAATCGGCTAGATTACCTGTGGGCTGCTGCAGTTGCCGAGAACGACCTCGCCTTCAACGTCAGCAAGTCGAAGTCAATCCAAGCCTTCGTTGACGCGGCGGTCGTGTATGGGAAGGCGTACACCCTCCCTACCCCCTACAAGGTATCCGGCCCGCTACTCGACAAGCTGAAGGCGGACACGAAGGATCTTGTGCGGCCGATGAAGGAGAGCTGGAAGACAAGCGGGTGCACGCTCTCCGTGGATGGGTGGACATGCATCAAATCCCGCGGGATGGTGTGTGTCATCGCCCAAAATGACACTGCTCCCGTCATTGTCGACATCGTTGACTCGAAGACCGCTAAAAAAACCGGGGTCTACTTGGCGGGTCTTATTGAGGGAGCGATGAAGGAGGTGGGGCCTAAGCATGTCGTCCAAGTCGTGATGGACAACGCCTCTAACAACAAAACCGCCGCCAACAACCTTCGCTCGGAGTATCCCCATGTCATCTTCACCAACTGCGCCGCCCACTGCCTAGATCTCATGTTGCACGACCTCGGCAACATCCCTGCTGTTAAACGCGTGCTTGGCCAAGTGCACAGCGTGGTGATGATGGTCAAAGGCAGCGCATCTGCCGTCATCTTGTTCCATGAGCTTTTTAGCAAGCTCTCCTTGGTGAGGCCGGGTGCAACGAGATTCGGCACCCAGGTCATCATGCTGGGCAGGTTCCTGGAGGTGAAGAGGGCGTTGAGGGCGATGGTAATCAGTGAAGAATGGGAGGAGGTGGCGGTGGCACGGACGGAGGAGGGGATGGAGGTTAGGAAGCTCCTTTTGGATGATGTTTTTTGGGACTGTGGGACGGAGGTGCTCCGCCTCATGACTCCGATCTACGAGGTTCTTCAAGCTGTTGACACACGGGCTCAAGTCATGGGCCAAATCTATGGCCTCATGCTTGAGGCCACGGTCAAGACAACCGAAGCGGCTGAGGTGGCTGGTAAGTGGGTGGGCTGGGTGCTTTCTGTTTTGCTGTCAGTGTTGTACTTTCTGTATTGTTCAGTTTTTTTGTTTTCTGTTTTGTACATTCTGTTTTTGTACTCTGTTATGGACATTCTGGTTTTGTGCATTCTTTTTTTTATTATGTTGTGTACATTATCTGCTCAATTTCCACCGTGAGCAGCCTCCCACTTCATCAGACGGACGGAACTGCTAGCCACAAAGGATAGAAGCACCTTTTTGACCACCATCAAGGCAATCATTGCCAAGAGGTGGGATGCACACCTACACAACTGCCTGCACGCCATGGGGTGGCTTCTCAACCCCCGTAACCAGTACATGGAGGAGGTAAAAAACGACCCAAAGATTAGGAAAGGGGCGGATGAGGTAATTCAAGCCCGGGGAGGGGATGTCTCACAGCGCATAACGCTTGCTGCACAGCTGGCTCAGTATCACAGAGGGGAGGGCCGGCTGGGCTCTGATGATGCCCGTTGGGCAGCAAGGACCTTGGTGGAGGGGGGGCGCATGACGGATCCGGAGTGGTGGTGCCTGTTTGGTGGGGAAGTGCAGGCGCTCCAAGAGCAGGATGTGATGGTGCTGTCACAGCCAGTCACCTCCTCTGAGGTGGAGCGGTACTGGTCAGCCCTTCAGCGTGTGCAGAGGCGGGACCGGAACCGCCTCACGGCGAAGAAAATGACTGATGTGACCATTGTGGCCTTCACCAGGAGGGCCCGCGATGCTTTTGCTCAAAAGGCAGCCGTGCGGGCACGGCTCTATGCGGACCTGGGCAACGGCACGCTCAAGGAAGGGTGTGCCATCATCCCGGCCGAGTCGGAGGACGAGGAAGGGGAGGCTGAAGAGGAGGAAGAACCCGTGGAGGAAGAATGCACCATTGATTGGTCGGAGTTTGGGAACATCGGCAGGAAGAGGAAGGGGAAGGCGGGTGAGTCATCAAAAGGGAAGAAGGGGAAGGGCATCGGTTCATGCAAGGGAAAGGGGAAAGGAAGAGCACGGGATGAGGAGGAGGAAAAGGAGGCGGCAGACAGCAGTGGGGAGGAGGAAGAACCTGCCAGGAAGAATCCCAAGGGACGAGATGCCTGGGATTGCAGCGACGGTTCAAGTGGGGAGGAGGAAGAGGACGAGGAGGAGGAGGACGAAGAAGAGGAGGATGAGTAGAGTGAGGGTAGAGGCAGTAATAGTGGACCTTTGCAGGCCTGTTTCTCCTTAGAGTAGGTTGTTATCGCCTTCATAGTCATTGTTGTAGACATTTCAGTAGTTTCTGGAACTTTTTTTCGAGCCAAAAACGGCCAACAAAAAAACGGTTGAAATCTGGCCAAACACGCCGTATTATACGACCGAAAAAAACGGCCCGTATAATACAATGGCCGTATTTTTAAACCTTGAGCGGGAGTGGTGAGGGGAGGCGGGCGAGTGAGAGTGCAAAGCAATGGGGCAGAGGGAGAGAGGGTCATTGGGTTGTGTTAGGGATGAGCAAGGGGCGAACACGAACGTGTTCGCGTTCGCCCCAGCTCGAACACTGCCGTTCGGCGAACCGAACACCTTTTACAAAAAAGGGTGTTCGATGTTCGCCTGTGAGGGCGAACATCTTGCATGCTAAGGCGAACACGAACGTGTTGGGGGCGAACACGTTCGTGTTCGCCCCTGGGCATCCTTTGTTACGCTCGAAATACGCAACGGCGGGCAGGGGAATTGCGGGAAATTGGGCCGCATCAGCATTTTGCGAGATCTAGTTACGGATCCATAGTTTTTTTTATCCAGCTCGCCACCTGGATTTCCCCCCACGTAAGGCGAAATGCTCTCCCCGTTCTATATCTACGAAATTTGCGATTGCTCGCCAACCCCCCACAACCCCCCAACTCACGAAATATGCGAACGCTATTCCTCTCAATCCCATACATACGAAATTTGCGAATGCTTACCGTCAACCCTCAACTTACGAGATTCTGCGGTATCCCTGTCTAATCTTTTCCCGAAAACCTAAATTTCGTGTTCGACGCGGCTCGGCAGCAGTAGCGGGGCGAACACCGGACACGTTCGCCCCGAACATTTTTAGCCAAAAAAAAATCCTGTTCGGTTCGCCTCGAATCGTTTCCATGCTCATCCCTAAGTTGTGTGCCAGGCCAGCAGCCAAGAACTGGCTTCTGCAGTAAAGTAAAGAGCACCTCATAGCCTCCTCCCATGCGCACGGACTTGTTTGCCCCTGGTTCATCTCGTCCCATGCTGCTCTTCCATGCCTCCCTCAAAACCTCAAATCCCAAACCCTAAACCCGAACCCGAACCCGAAGCCCCCTGTACAGACACCCACCGGTGAGCTTGGCGATCTGCATGTTCCAGCCGTTGATCTGGCCGTTGCGGTTGACGCCCAGGATGGGCACGGTGGCGGTCTCAATGATGCGCACCGTCTCATTGGCCACCTGGTTGATCTCGTCCATGCTCTGCAGCCGCAGCTCCGCCACTCGAGCTAGCATCAGCTGCCGCCGCTTCACCTCGTCGTGCTCCTGGGGAGAGAAAGGGCAGGGACGGGATGGAGGAGGGAGGCAGTCAGGGGTAGAGGCACACACAAGGCACCAAGCATGGGTCACCGTCTGGTTGATCTCGTCCATGCTCTGCAGCCGCAGCTCCGCCACCCTCGCTAGCATCAGCTGTCTGCGCTTCACCTCATCGTGCTCCTGAGAGGATACAGGGGTGGCAGGGAAGGGACGGGGCGGGAGGGAAGGCAGGGTTAAGGGGACGTGGGAAAGAGCACGGATCACCGTCTCATTGGCCACCTGGTTGATCTCGTCCATGCCTCAGCTCCGTCACTCAAGCCAGCATTAGCTGCCTCCTCTTCACCTCGTTATGTTCCTGTGGAGAGGAGAGGGGGGACAGGGAAGGGATGGAGGAGGGAGGCAGCCAGGGGTAAGGGCACACGGGAATGAGCACGGGGTACGGTCTCGTTGGCCACCTGGTTGATCTCGTCCATCTCAACGTTCTCCCAAGGCTGCGAGCACATGGGCATGGCATCGAGGAAGGCCTTGAGGGAGTCTCTTCAGCCCTACATGCTGTTACCAGTGAGCACAGCACACAGGCAAGAAGCACACAGCTCACCTGCAGGGCAGAGCGCAGAACTAGCTGCAGGCTGTGCACGGCGTCCATCTCAACGCCCTCCCAGGGCTGAGAGCGCATGTGCACCGTCTCGAGGAAGGCACGCCTTGAGGGACTCCTTTCACTTGGCTATATAGCTACTAAGTTACCTGGAATCACAGCCCGTCCACCGGTAGAGCGGATCGCAGGATGAGCTGCAGGCTGTTTACAGCGTCCATCTCGACATCCTCCCAGGGCTGCGAGCGCATGTGCACCGTCTCAAGGAAAGCACGCGTTGACGGACCCCTTTGACCCAACAATGTGTGGTTACCGGTTACCCCGAACAACCCACCTGTAGGGCAGAGCGCAGAATTAGTTGCAGGCTGTGAACAGCATCCATTTCAACGTCCTCCCAGGGCTGTGAGCGCATGTGCACCGTCTCCAGGAAGGCCTTGAAGGAGGTGCGAGGGTGCATGCGTGTGGGGTCATCCACGTCTAGCGGGTCGTGCTTCTCGCCTCCCCACTTCACCTCCTTCGCTGCATGCGCCCGGAACCTGTGGGTTGGATGGAGCGAGGCAGGGGGGCGGGGAGGGGGTTGGTAGGTTTGAGAGAGAAGGGGAAGGGTGGGGAAGTTTTGGGATGGAACATGGAGGGGTGAGGGGGTTCTGGGAGGAGGGATGCGTGGGGGCAAGAAGGAAGGCCTTGAAGGAGGTGTGTGGGTGCATGCGAGTGGGATCGTCCACGTCTAGTGGGTCGTGCTTCTCCCCTCCCCATTTCACCTCCTTCGCTGCATGCGCCCGGAACCTGCAGAATGATGGGGCAAGGAAGGGGATTTTGCAGGGTGGGGAGCAAGAAGAGGGGGGTTTGGGTCGTCCACGGGTCGTGCTTCTCACCTCCCCACTTCACCTCCTTCGCTGCATGCGCACGGAACCTGCAGGAGGGTGGAGAGAGGGAGGCGGGAAGGGGGGAAGAGGGGAGAGGTGGTGGGCACAGCCACTCAGGTCAGCTGGACACAGCACACCAGTGAACGAGATGAAGAAAGAAGCACAAGCACACACCACACGTGCTTACGTGTAATTCAACCCACCACATGAGGAAGTCCTTATCGCTGAGCTTGATCGCAATGAGTCCTCAGACCTCCTCGCCCAGGTCAATGGCGCACAGCACACACACACACACACGCGCGCGCGCACACACACAGACACAGACGCACACACACACACACACACACACACACACACACACACACACACACCGGTGACCAATGGGGCGAAGGATGAAGCACGAGCACGCACCACATGAGGAAGTCCTTATCGCTGAACTTCACCGCAATGAGTCCGCACACCTCCTCGCCCAGGTCAGACGCGTGGGGGTAGCCAGCATTGAGCAGTGAGTCGGTGCTGAACCCCGTGGAGTCGCTGTGGTGCGTCAACAGCCACTCTGCTATGTTGAGAACCTAGCAGTTGTATTGCAGTGCGTATGAGTGGGGGAGGCGAGGAAAGAAGTGAGGGAGGTGAATGCATGTGCTGGTAGTCGGCGTTGAGCAGCGAGTCGGAGCTGAACCCCATGGAGTCGCTGTGGTGCGTCAACAGCCACTCAGCTATGTTGAGAACCTGGTGGTGTGATGGCATTGCATGAGAGTGGGTGGGGACAAGGTGTGAATTTTAACACTGGTGCGTCAGTAGCCAATCCCCTGCTATTTTCAGCATCTGGAGATGGCATTGCACTGCAAATGTGTCGGGGAGGCAAGGAGGGGAAGCTGGTGAATGCATGTGGGGGTAGCCGGCGTTGAGCAGAGAGTCGGTGCTGAAGCCCGTGGAGTCGCTGTGGTGCGTCAGTCAGCAGCCACTCCGCTATGTTCAGCACCTGGTGGTTGCATCGTACATAGGTGAGCGGGGCAAGGAGTGCGTTTTGAGTCAACTGTGGGTCCTCAACGCATGGATGGTGAGTCGCTGTGGTGCGTCAGTCAGCAGCCACTCCGCTATGTTCAACACCTGGTGGTTGGCAGGCAGTGAGTTGGGGAGCCAGGGAGGTATGTATGGACGGAAACTGGACCCCTATACAGCAGAGCAGCCCCATCACAGTGCACGAGGTCGCTGATGTTAGGCTTGTTGGTGACCAAGGGACCTCTGAGTCCCCAGAGGACACAACACAACACACAACACAGCACAGCACAGCACAGCACAGCACAGCACGCACCCTACAGCAGAGTGAAGCACACACACACATGCCATGCATCTGGGACTCGGAGGGAGTAACCCAGTAGCCAGAAGTGCCCATTGTAGAGCAGAGCAGCACCATCACAGTGCACCAGGTTATTGATGTTGGGCGTCTTGGTGACGAGGGGAGGGGGGGCTGTGAGCTCACACAGGGCACCAAAGCACAAACACTAAACCCACCTGAGACTCAGAGGGAGTAGACCCCAAGCGCCAGCAGCGGCCATTATACAGCAGAGCAGCACCATCACAGTGAACGAGGTCGCTGATGTTGGGCGTCTTGGTGACAAGTGCAACCTCTTTGAGTCTCCACACCAGGCACAACACAGCACGCACCTGGGGCTCAGAAGGGGTAGACCCCAGTCTCCAACAACGGCCATTGTACAGTAACGCAGCGCCGTCACAGTGAACAAGGTCGCTGATGTTGGGTGTCTTGGTGACGAGGGCAACAGGCGGCTCGCGCATGAGCATGTCGCACAGCAGCGTCTGCATCTTCAGTGCGTGCTTCGCCTTGAGCTGATTCGCCAGGTCCATCTCCTTGCTCAGCTGCACCGCAAACACCTGTGACATAAAGGGAAGGGGTGGGAAGGAGTGTGGGGCAGTGTGGGGGGGCGATCATCAATATAAGGGACCACAGGGCATCTTGAGGGCGTGCTTGGCCTTGAGCTGGTTCGCTGGGTCCATCTCCTTGCTCGGCTGCACCGCAAACACCTGTGAGTTGACTGTGGGAGGAGGGGTTGGGGGACCGGAGGAGGGTGAGCGGATAAGGAGGGCCATGGGAAGTGTGTCCTTCGCCTTGAGCTGGTTCGCCGGGTCCATCTCCTTGCTCAGCTGCACCGCAAACACCTGGAGAGCGAAAAGGGGAGAAAGCAATGAGGGGTGGGTTTGGGACAGTATGGATAAACAGGGCAAAGGACGGAGGTCAATGACTCGGTCCACTAGGAGTCTGGCAGGAGCGCAAGAAGTGGGAGTGGAAGGTAAAAATGAAGGAGGCATGGAGGAGGGAGCGTCAGGAAGGAAAAAGAGCCATGGAGGAGCGAAGGGCAACACCTGGACGAGGAGGGGAAGGGGAAGGGCAACACCTGGACGAGGAGGGTCACCTGGACGAGGAGAAGGGCGTGACCTGGACAAGGAACTCGCAGGCGGAGCGAGTGGGGTAGGGCACCATGCAGGGCGAGCAGTGGTGACACACCACCAGCACGTTGGGAATGAAAGAGTTGCGAGAAGAGGGGTTGGGAAGGAGTGGAAGCGTTGGGAGTGAAAGGGAGAAAAAGGAGGAGGGAAAGAGGGGGGCAAGCAGGAGGGGAAGGAGGTCACCTGGACAAGAAACTCGCAGGCGGAGCGAGTGGGGTAGGGCACCATGCAGGGCGAGCAATGGTGGCACACCACCAGCCCCCACAGCCGCCGCCCAGGCTCGGCCCGAACCGCCTTCCCAGCCCCGGCGACATCATTGGGTGGTGCCGCTGCTGCAGCTGCTGCCGCCCCTGCTTCACTGTGGGGTGCAGGGTGTTGGAGAGAGAAAGGAGGGGATGGGCATACAGCTTCTGAGTCGACCCAGGAGATGGGCACATGGGTGGGTGGGACAGTAGATTGGTGGTATACACGCAGCAGCAGGACAACGAAGATAGGGAGAGGGGAGGGAGATAGGGAGAGGGGAGGGAGAGAGGGAGAGGGGAGGGAGAGAGGGATAGGGGAGGGAGAGAGGGAAAAGGAGAAGGAAGGAGAGATAGAAGAAGAAGAAATAAATTTGGAGTAGGGAACAGGGAGAGGGAGGGATGGAATGGAAGGGTAAATAGCAGCCTCCATCTCTCAGTAATTCACTAACGATATTATTAACGAGTATCCCCATGTCGGCCCACCTCCTTCTAAGTCACTCACTCACTCACTCACTCACTCACTCACTCACCCACCCACCCACCCACTCACTCACCCACCCACCCACCCACTCACTCACCCACCCACCCACTCACTCACCCACCCACCCACCCACTCACTCACCCACCCACCCACTCACTCACCCGCTGCTGAAGGTGATAGCTAGGACCAGAGACGCGAGGGTGCCCATGTTGGCCATGTACTCGGGTGGCACGACCGCACCATGCGCACCGTGCTGTGCGCAAGCAACAGGCCCCCCACCCCCATTCCCCGAACTGCTTCCCACCCAACCCTCCAACACCCTTTTTTTTGCCTTTATCCCGACTACGACTCACTCATTCTCCCACCCATCCACTCACTCACCCCGGTGCTGACGGTGATCGCTAGGACAAGGGATGCGAGAGTGCCCATGTTAGCCATGTACTCGCGGTGGCACGACCGCACCATGCGCACCTTGCTTGCTGTGCGCCAGAGACAGGCCCCCAACTGCCCCAACTACCTTCATACCCCCACAACACAACACCTCCATTTCTGCCCGGATTTTCACACTTACTCCGCCCACAACTCACCCAACCACTCACTCGCTCACTCACCCGGTGCTGACGGTGATAGCTAGAACCAACGATGCAAGCGTGCCCATGTTGGCCATGTACTCGCGGTGGCACGACCGCACCATGCGCACCGTGCTGTGTGCCAGAGACAGCCCTCCCGGCAGCGCGCCCTGATGCAACACGTCCACCCCCGCCGCCTTGCTGTCCACTATCATGCGCACCCTGTTCTCCATGAATGTCCGGCGCGCCATCTGGAGGAGGGGCAGGAGGGAAGGAGGGGGGATGAGAAGCAACCAAGGAAGGGTGTGGGGAGAGAGAGGGGGGACAGCGCCTTGCTGTCCACAATCAAGTGCACGCGGTTCCTCCTGAACGCGCACTGCACTGTCTGGGAGGAACGGGAGCGGAAGAAGGGGGAATGGGGAACAAACCAAGGGAAGGGGCGAAGAAATGAACCTTAGTTAAGCGCCTAAGTGTACACGATCGTGCGCACAGCCGGTTCGTAGTGTCCCAGGAAAGCCTGGGGCGAGAAAGCATGAACTACTGTTTGAGACAGACAGATACATGTTGGTGGCGTACTTCTGGACGTGTTCAGTTAGTCAATCTCAGTCAGTTCAAACACTCCATAAGCCACAGTCAGCTTCAGTCACTCCATCAGTCTCACTCAGTCTCAGTCAGTCTCAACCACTCGACTAGTCAGCCTCAGTGATTTCATCAGTCTCAGTAATCCAGAGGCAGTCTCATTTGTAATGGCTTTATACAGGCATGGCTCCATTCCATAGTCCTTGATTCATACAGTCACGCCACGTCACCACAGCCTTTGTAAAAGCTCATTCATCCACCGGCTCAAAAAGGTCCCTTCCCCGCAATGCCCCTTCCATTCCATCAGGGACGGCGAAAGGGATGTTCTTTCCCTCCCGCACGCCTGTTGTTAGCCTGTTGCGTCCGCATTCAATCCAAACAATGCACGTCAATTTCTACTTGGAACGAACCCCTTCCCTTCGTCGCGTGCCCAGAACGTGCCACCAGTGGCGGCCTCCACGTCACACACCATTCTGCCAAACCAAACGTGCTGCATGCCACGTGGAGCAATCCACGACAAATCCGCACAGAATGACTAGGTTCTGCAAATCTGTTCTGGTCTCCTCTCTCCTCAACTCGGCAAGAGCCGGCTCCTCGCGTGTAACGTATAGGGCAGAGACCATAATACCTCCTCGAGTGAGCAAGACGGAGTCTGGAGGACTCAGGAGGACCCACCATGGGAATGTCTGTCGCGGGATAATGCAATCCCAGATACGATTCGATCTTCTGGTTGTTGAGAAACTCCGCCAGCACTTCGCCGTGCTCGTCTTCGTGAAACTTGTACACCATGATGCGATCGTAACCAGTCATTTCGCCAATCTCCTCGACGACAGTGTTACACAGCAACCGCACGTCGCCGACGGGAAGCGACTTCAATCTCGCCACGGCTCGCGCCGCAAGCTTGTGAGACGCGAGCGCTCCTGTAACGGGGCCTGACGGCGGGTCGAATTTCAACGGCTCGAAATCGATCATTAAGCCTTCCTCGCATCGTCTCATTATAGCGTAAAACGGGTTAGCAGATCGGTGCGAGCTAACGAGGATAGGGCACACGATGTTCAGATCCGTCGCGCTGCAAGCTCTCTCAATCGTCGCCACGCTCGTTAGTTTAAACAGACTACGCGCATCGAGGCCTATCGCGCCTTTCCAGTCCGGGTTTCCTGGAAGCGCGTCGATCTCCAACATCTCGACCGCGTTCCGGCTAAGCGCGAGGATACGAAACGAGCTTTCTTCCACAAGTAGCAAGCACCCGAAGGACTGAATTTGTCCAATTTTGGCGCTATCGGGACGAAAGTTGAGGTATCTACCATCAAACCCGATTTCTTCTCGTATGTGGCCGGTACTGTACTTGCAGTATTCCGGCTCCGGTTCGGATCCGAAAATGGAGGCTTCGACTTGCGCGCTCGGGTATCCCTCCGCCTCCCCCACGAGATCCTCTACTAGGTCTCTGTCGTCCATCTCGCCTCGCTTTTCTGTGGGTCTATTCGCGTTGCTGTCGGAGCCTAACAACGCCACTGAAACTAAAGATACGAGAGTTGTTCTGCTGAAAAGGTGGAGACGAGTGTTATTTAATCTGCAGGCAATGTGACTGAAGTTGACGGAGTGCCATGAATAATGCTCTCCATTCTGCTTACTCGGCGTGCAGTGAATTGACAAACACAACAATCAACAAAAAGCGTGCAGAGTGGATGAAGCCTTGAAGTTGACATTTGATTGCATGTGCTGCATCCGCCCACCTTTTGTACTTCAGACAGGCGTGCGAGAAGAGGTGCAACTTTCCTCTTTCCTCGTCCCCCACGGACCTGACGCATGCGCCACAGTTGCCAGCTGCTCCTACCGATCACTTCTCGAGACTTGCATGAATGGTGGGATAACCGCACTGTAACTTCGCGGCTCAGGCTCGAGTTGCCTGTCCAAAGTGGTTTGGGGCACACCGAACCTGGTGACGTAGATTCGGCCATCCAACAGACTTCATCACACCCCCGAAAGCTGGGCAGCGGAACAGTTCCCCTTATGTCGCCGACTTTTTTGCCTTCAAAACTAAGCGTGAACAAAAGCAAACGAGCGGCCCCCACTTGACTGAAAACTCTACAGAAGGGCTGCCTGCCAGCCGAATCAGCACTGGAAACAAGAAACAATCCACACTGGGTGGAATATGAACCCTAACCGGGACTGGCTGGTTGTAACACAGCTTGCGCTCTGGTGCTGGGTTTGGAGGAGGGGGAGGCTCACATTTGAGGAAAAAAAAAACTTATTTTTTTCTTTTCCAGAGAAAATTCTGGTGGTTGGGTTGTGTTGGGGGAGGCACCTGCTATATCAGTAGCTGCGTTTAGGGGATTTTCTGGTTTGGCAAGCAGAATTAGACGAAACGGACCCCTCATGTCGACTCGAACTGGACGAAGTGTGTTTTCAAGCCCTCCATTCTCTCTGGCAAAATCTGCAACAAATAAGAATGCACCAATGACTGGCTTCCCTCTCTCGCTGGTGGAATCATTGTGCTGTAATGGGAGGATGGAAGGAACGAAGTCCAGTGTGATTCTGGCCGTTGGTGGAAATCCGGCTCGGCAACATGCGCCAGCGAGAAACACATATTATATATGGACGACCAGCAGCGAGTTTTATCACTTCGAAGAAATGCACCTTTCAAGTATGGTGCTTCAACAAGTAATTTTATCGAGTCCCGTCCCAGAATCTCAGCACTGTGGTGGTTTCGACCACCTAGTGCCTCAGCTATTTTGCTGAATGACTTCCAGTGGACACCCCCTGTTAAAGCTTTCGTATACATTTGCAAGTACTGTTTGGACTTGCACTGTAGCCAGGGAAAAATTCGCCAGAACGAAACAACTGAGCGTGGCGAGAGGTTTGGCGAAAAATTGCAGCTTTGAGGAGTTCCAAACACAGGAAACTCCCCCGTCACCCAACCTTGGAGTCAGATTTCACTAGGAACCATGATATGTGACTAACATACGCTAAGCATAGATAGAGGAACCGGGGCGCGACAAAGAACATGCGGAGCATCGACACCGCTCAGATATTCTCATGTGAGATGAGTTTAGGTAACATTATAGGCTTGTGCGAGTGGGAAAATACATCTAGCTTGCACGCCAGCTCCTTTCCACTGCTGCGCCGTTCAGCGGCAATCGGAGAGGGAAAGGCTCTGCATTCGTCGAGCGCGTCGTGCTGCATTGATGGGCCCCGTCGAAGCCCTGTCAAGGGCGCCTCGACGGGTTGCATCACCACGCTGGGTAGGTGCGATCGAGTAAGCCGATTGAAAATTACGGAGCCGACGGCGGGATCGCATCGTTCCATGCGTTGGCCACGCCGCCACTCTCAACACCCGCTCGGTAGGCATTTCCCGCTTAGCGCCTCACCCACTGCGCGGGTCTCCCGCTTACCGCCTCCAATGCTGGGAGCTCTCCCGCTTAGCGCCTCACCCTCTGCGCGCCATGCCGCTTAGCGTATCACTCGCCGCGCGCCTTTCCCGCTTAGCGCCTGACCCGCTGCGCGCCTCTCCCGCTTAGCTCCGCAACCGCTGCGCGCCTCTCCCGCGCAACGAATCACTCGCTGCGCGCCTCTCTCATTTCGCGCCTCACCCCCTGTGCGCCTTTCCCGCGTGTCGCCTCACCCTCTCCCGCTTAGCGCCGCACCCGCTGCGCGCCTTTCCCGCTTAGCGCCCGCATAGCGCCTCTCCCGCTAAGCGCATCCTCTTCTAATTACCCCCCCTCCCCCCTTCTCCCCCTCACAACCCCCCCTACTCCCTCTCCACTTGCCTCCCTTCTCCCCCTCCTTTCCCCCCCTTCTCCCCCTATTTTTCCCCCCTTCTCTCCCTCATTTTCCCCCCTTCTCTCCCTCATTTTCCCCCCTTCTCCCTCTCAGTTCTAACCCTTCTCCCCCTCATTCCCCCCATTCTTCCCCTCATTTCCCAGCCTGCTCCTCCTCATTTCCCCTCCTGCTCCTTCTCACTTCCCCCACTGCTCCCCCTCATTTCCCCTCCTGCTCCTTCTCACTTCCCCCACTGCTCCCCTTCATTTCCCCTCCTCCTCCCTCTCATTTCCCCCCTTACTCCTCTCATCTCCCCCCCTCCTCCCTCTCATTTCCCCCCTTGCTCCTCTCATCTCTCCCCCTCCTCCCTCTCATTTCCCCCCTTGCTCCTCTCATCTCTCCCCCTCCTCCCTCTCATTTCCCCCCTTGCTCCTCTCATCTCTCCCCCTCCTCCCTCTCATTTCCCCCCTTGCTCCTCTCATCTCTCCCCCTCTCCCTCTCATTTCCCCCCTTGCTCCTCTCATCTCTCCCCCTCCTCCCTCTCATTTCCCCCCTTGCTCCTCTCATCTCTCCCCCTCCTCCCTCTCATTTCCCCCCTTGCTCCTCTCATCTCTCCCCCTCCTCCCTCTCATTTCCCCCCTTGCTCCTCTCATCTCTCCCCCTCCTCCCTCTCATTTCCCCCCTTGCTCCTCTCATCTCTCCCCCTCCTCCCTCTCATTTCCCCCCTTGCTCCTCTCATCTCTCCCCCTCTCCCTCTCATTTCCCCCCTTGCTCCTCTCATCTCTCCCCCTCCTCCCTCTCATTTCCCCCCTTGCTCCTCTCATCTCTCCCCCTCCTCCCTCTCATTTCCCCCCTTGCTCCTCTCATCTCTCCCCCTCCTCCCTCTCATTTCCCCCCTTGCTCCTCTCATCTCTCCCCCTCCTCCCTCTCATTTCCCCCCTTGCTCCTCTCATCTCTCCCCCTCCTCCCTCTCATTTCCCCCCTTGCTCCTCTCATCTCTCCCCCTCCTCCCTCTCATTTCCCTTCCATTCTCCCTTCCACGCTCTCCCATCGCCATGCCTTAATTTCTCATCCCCCCTCCTTCCAGGGTCATCTCACCTCCCATGAGATCCCACTCGCTCCTTCAGTCCCTGCCCATACTGCTGCCGCTGCTGCCTTTGCCGGAGCTGCCTCTGCTGCCACACCCAGTGTTCCTTCCTTTGGTGTTCCCCCCGGAGCAGGAGGTAGCTCAGGAAAGGAGGGGAAGGCATGGTGGAGGAGGAGGAGACATGAGGCGAGGAGCAGCCAGTGGGGAGGATTGTTCGCCCCACTCCTTTGACTATGGACTGCCGACGCCGGCTGTTGGCCCCAACCCGTGTGACTCTGCAACTGCCCCGGTTCTGACCATACTTCTGCTCCTGCGGATTGAGCTCCTACTGGACCTAGCATTTGTGGAGCAAATGTAGCAGCAGCTCCCACGAGGAGTTGGAGCTGGGATGATCTTGCAAGAACAGCGGCAGGTGCATGGGCAGCAACAGCAGAACCAAGAGCGAGTGAGCCCTGCTGCGGTCTCACAGCCGAGCGCGCTCATGAGTGCGCAAGCCGCAGGAGATGCAGCATGCCGGGTCTCTCACGATGGGTGCACACTATCGAAGCAGCCATGTCAGCAGTGGACTGGGGAGCGAGCAGGGTGTGAGGCTCGATGAGGAAGCGAGGCGGAGGGAGAGGGAGAAGGAGGAGGTAGCGAGGCTGTTGCGGCAGATGGTGCGTGCAAGCGAGCTCGACTCATCTCAAGTTTTGTCCCATCGTTCACGCCTCTCAGGTACTGTGCGCGTCCCATCGCATGCCTTGGGACTTGCCTAGACAACCGTTTTCACGCCACTTGGATGACTAAGGGCACTCTCTCCAGGCTTTGGTTGAGCTCACCCTGATATGTGCCTTCTTTTTCCCCTTCCTCGTCCCTTTCTCAGCCCTGACCCCCCCCACTCCTCTCACCGGCAGGTCCACCAAGCAGCACACAATGCATCGCTCCCCTCTGCTGCACACCAACGCCAGGCATACAACAGCAGCCGCCAACTTGTGCGGCAGCTCCCTGCGTATTTATTACTATGCACTTGTGATTCAAGAAGCATGCATACACTCCCAACTCTAGTACATTTTTGGCACTTCAGGACCAAAATCAAGCTCGTAGCCTCACAACATGTTTTATAAAAAAAGTCCTTACAATTGTATCACTATATACATAACCTTTATCACCCAACCCTGGATTCTTCGATACCAATCACGTGACTAGTCATATGCCTGTGCACGAATGCAGGGAATGGAAGGGAATGGCAGGGAATGGAAGTGTATGGAAGGGAATGGAAGTGTATGGAAGGGAATGGAAGGGTATGGAAGGGTATGGCTGGGGTATGGAAGGGAATGGTAGGTATGGAAGGGTATGGAAGGGAATGGAAGGGTATGGAAGGGAATGGAAGGGTATGGAAGGGAATGGAAGGGTATGGAAGGGAATGGAAGGTATGGAAGGGTATGGAAGGGAATGGAAGGGTATGACAGGGGATGGATGGGTATGGCTGGGGTATGGAAGGGAATGGTACACTTACGCTAGGGAAGGAAAGGTATGGCAGAGTATGGCAAGGTATGGCAGAATGAGGGACGGGCTTGGCTGGCGTATGGAAGGGTATGGGAGGAGATGGAAGGGTGTGGCGGTGTATGGCAGCGGATGGATGAGTATGGCATGCGATCATCCAAGGGTACGGTAGGGGTTAGAAGCATATGAGAGGGAGAAGGGGGGAAAATGAAAGGAGATGGGGGGAAATGAGCGGGGGGGAAACGAGATGGAGAAGGGGGGGGGAATGAGAAGGAGCACGTGGGGAAAGGAGAGGGAGATGGGGGGAAACGAGAGGGGGAAGGGGGGGGGAATGCGGGGAAATGAGAGGGAGGTTATGTGGCATTTAACTGAGTGGTTAAGGGGGGAATGAGAAGGAGCAGGGGGGAGAATGAGAGGGATAAGGGGGGGAAATGAGAGGAAGAAGGGGGGTACATGAGCGAGAGAAGGGGGGACATAACAGTGAGCAGGGGGGAGGATGAGAGGGAGAAAGGGGGGGAATGAGGGGCTTCATGGGGGGAATGAGAGGGAGTAGGGGGAGATATAAGAGGGGGAAGGGGAAGAAATGAGAGGGAGAATGGGGGGGAATGAGCGGGAGAAGGGGGTGACATGAGAGAGAGAAGGTGGGGACATGACAGGGAGCAGGGGGGGAGATGAGAGGGAGAAAGGGGGGGATGAGGGGCTTCATGGGGGGAATGAGAGGGAGAAGGGGGGAGGAATGAGGGAGAGCATGGGGGGGAAATGAGAGTGAGCAAGGGGGAAAATGAGAGTCTGCAAGGGGGGAAATGAGAGTGCGGCTGCCGCGGCTAGTGCGGAAACGTGGTAGCGAGGCTGTGCGATCGGGCGGCGACTGTGATGTGTGTTCGGCAGTTTGAGAAGGGAGGCGAGAAGGGATAATCGGGAGTGGGAAGGGGAAGCGGGGAGGCGGGAAGGGGAATTGGGGAGGCGGGAAGGGGAAATGGGGAGTGGGAAGGGGTAATGGGGAAGCGGGAAGGGGTCACGGGGAGGAGGGAAGGGGTAATGGGGAGCGGGAAGGGGAATTGGGGAGGCGAGAAGGGGTAATGGGGAGCGGGAAGGGGAATTGGGGAGGCGGGAAGGGGTAATGGGGAGCGGGAAGGGGAATTGGGGAGGCGGGAAAGGGTAATGGGGAGCGGGAAGGGGAAACGAGGAGGCGGGAAGGGATAATGGGGAGCGAGAAGAGGAAATGGGGTGGCGGGAAGGGGAATTGCAGAGGCAGGAAGGGGTAATGGGGAGCGGGAAGGGGAAACGAGGAGGCGCGAAGGGGTAATGGGGAGCGGGAAGAGGAAATGGGGTGTCGGGAAGGGGAATTGGGGAGGCGGGAAGGGGAAACGGGGAGGCGGGAAGAGGTAATGGGGAGCAATCGTTTCTGATTACCCTCGCGACACCTCAATTGCGGCTGCCGCCGCTACTGCGGAAACGTGGTAGCGAGGTCGCGCGATCGGGAAGCGACTGTGATCGTGCGTGTTCGGCAGTTTGAGACGCAGCGTGCGCGTTCATGGTGGCGTGAGGAGGCCGCGTGGTGAGGCAACGCGACGGACGACGAGGCGAGGCTGTGAGAAGGGGTCCGGCGGGCTCGCCGTGTTAGAGGGCGGAACTGACGTTGGCTCGGACGTGTAATTACACTAAACTGCCCCACGCGTCTAAGTTTGTGTCGGAAACGGGAGTGATTTGCGCTGGCTGTTGTCGCGATGTGCTTTGCTACGATTTATGCTGCCTGTTGAGCGTAGTGGCGTAGATCTCACATGGACTGGATTTCGTATACTTTTGTTATTCCAAAAGTTTTGAATCACCAGTGAGCCCTGGGTGACGGGGAGATCACCTCCCTTGTGAAGCGAGTGAAACTAGCTGTTTCTGGGTTACCAATATTTCAAATTTCAAAACTTTTGAACCTCCCTTTTTCAAATGTATACGAAAGCTTTAATATCAACAGGTCCTCGCTCCCCTCAGGGGTTTTCGTGTCATCGTAATGTCAGACTCCAAATTTCCAGGGTTTTTACCAGAAAGAAAATAGCCCAGTAACTTTTGCACCGCCATAATTCAAAATCTTCAGAAACGACAATATGATTTCCTCATGCATGTTATTCACAGATAATATGTGTTTCTAGGTAACAGCAGCCTCGGTATTAAGTTCACTCACAATCACTGTTAAATTCTCACAAATAGTGAGGGTACTGTCTTCACGTATTACATTTTCCTTTCATAATCAACCAGAAATTGCCTTCTTTTTCTTTTCATTTCATGACAGAACCCATATTCAACATATTCATCAATCTATAAAAAAACAGTTTCGTATTTTGCATGTAACTCCACAACGTGGAAGACACCGCGTATTCGACCCCAAGCCTCGATTCGTCAATTCCGGTAAGCAATGGTTGCGTGCACATTACTTTGCGCATCTCAATGCACCCTTGCCTGATAGTGCTGGGCCCACTCACCCTGCATCTCAGAGATGGCCTAGTTATTGATTCAAACATTGCCTTGCATAAAATAGAAGGTGCAGGCCCCTAAATTTCAGCCTTTTCATGGCGATTCAGCCTTTTTTTCAGTATTTTCTTCTGTACCAAGGCTGATTTGTCAAGAGCAGGTGATTTTCTAGTGGTTTTTATTGAAAAATAGCTATGACCAATCTACGAGTCTCTCTAAAATTAGAGTGCCTTCTCAACCTACAGTTATGTGGGCAACATCATTGTGAAAAAAGATTGAGTACCGCATGGACGATGACCATGCACGACATAGTTTCGGCATTTGTTGTCAAGAAGTGTAAACAGCAGAATGCATTTGACTAACGGAATGGGAGTACAAGTAAGAAACCCTAGAAAGATGTACCCCCTAAGGCTAGCCATACTGTAGCCTAACAAAGTATAAACAAGTGGTTTTTACACACCCCCATAGGCGAAGTGGGGGAGAGCGAGCACAACAAACAGTCACAAGACCAGTCAAGACAAGCAACAAAGCAAAGTTCAGGGTGGATCTTAAGATCACTACACAGTCCGAACACAGGCAAGAGGCCACAAGACTAGTTATAATAGCACAAGCAGTACAAGCATGACAACCAACCATAAGTAAACATGCAGGTATATATAAATATAAAAATATATATGTATGTGTGTGTGTATCTATGTATATGTGTGTGTATGTGCGTATATGTGTATGTGTGTGTGCACGTGCATATGTGTGTGTGTGTGTGTATATGTGTCTGTGCGTGTGTGTGTGTGTATGTGTGAGTGTGTGTGTGAAATTACAAGGCAAAGTCAAGAGACAAGCAAGTGAGCCAGCGTAAGCACAAAGCCTAGAGCAGTGAAAAAACGTTGATGATCACTATGTCAGAATGTTATGTTTTGTCTAGCCTGCAGTGGGGTACTCAATAGTGAGTACAGCCCAATTTAGGGTTTGCTATATGTACTCAACTGCTTGCTAGTGAAACCCCCTCTTTCTCATTTCTAACTTGCAACTGTTTCTTAACATGGAATCAGAGCAAGTCGACCCCCTCGGGTCGATCCTGTGTATGGGCCCCCACCAATGCTTCCGCTGCTGCTGTCCTGCCTATCGCGCGCCTCGGGCGCGCACTATCTTCCTTCCTGCCGCGCGCCCATGGCGCGCGGCCCTAGCGCGCGGCGGTTTTCTGCCCGTCGCGGCCCCTTCGTGGCCCCCATCGCGGCCCCGTCGCGGCCCTGCCCCGGCCTCGCCCCGGCCCTGCCTCGTCGCCTGTCGCGACCCGTCGCGGCCTCGCCCCGGCCTCTCCCCGGACCTGCCCCGTCGCCCGTCGCGGCCCTGTCGCGGCCCCGACCCTGCCCCGACCCTGTCGCGGCCCTGTCCCGGACCTGTCGCGGCCTCGCCCCGGCCCTGTCCTGGCCCTGCTCTGGCCCTACCCCGGCCCTGCCCCGGCCCTGCCCCGTCGCCCATTGCGACCCCGTCGCGGCGCCAATTGGGGCCCGCGTGGCCCCAATTCCCGTCGCCTGTCGAGGCGACCCTGGGGGGGGCCGCTGAAGGGGGCCACGCGTCGGCCCCTCCTGTTTTCGTCGCGGCCCTGCCCCCCCCCCCCCCCCCCCCGTACCCTCCCTACCCGC